AAAAATATAAATCATTTATAATAACCCTAATAGAGGATAAAATACAATCGAAAGTTAAACATTTAAACTTATAAAATAAGAATATAAGTTATAGATTAATTAATATTAAAAAAGGTATATATATTAAAATATATAAGGAGATATATTGAAAAAAGGTATATGATAAAAATATTATTTTAAGGAATCTAAAACTAATACTTAGGAGGATAAAAAGGTTAAAAAACCAATCCGAGAATGAAAATTAAGGAAGAAGAAAATTGAGTGAAATGAAACATCTGAGTAGCTTAAAAGTAATCAACAGAGGTTATATAAGTAACGGTGAGTGAAAGTATAATAGTCTAAAAGTAACATCAAGAGGTGTGAATAAAGTAGAATCAACTACTAAGACAAGGAATAAGTATTAAGTAAAAAGTACCGTGAGGGAAAGGAGGAAATAGAATAATAGAGAGCAGTCATAGTATGGCGTACCTCTTGTATAATGGGCCAGTGAGTTATATATATTAGCGAAATAAAATAAATTATAAATAAATTAAGAAAACAATCAAAAGTTAATATATATAGGCCCGAAAGCAAACGATCTACACATGTTCAAGATCTTTAAAATTAAAGAGTCTGAATAGGTAAATGTAGCAATATTTTCTAAAGAAATGTGTGTAGTAGTGACAGACAAATCTGGTTTGCAGATAGCTGGTTTTCTGCGAAATATATATTAGTATAGCCTTTATTAAAGTATTAACTGGTACAGCACTTAAATCATTTTGGGGGATTATTTTTAATTTTATCAAAAGATTTAAATCTCGAAAACAGTAAACCATTTAATAAGGAGTCAGACTTATTGCGATAAGGTAGTAGGTCTAAAAGGAAACAACCTAGACTATTTAATAAATGTCCCAAATATATATTAAGTGAATAAAATCTTTTATATTTATATTTATCTATCAAAAACAGATATAATATAAAATATTTATATATATATAAAAAATATATATAAGTATATTAGATAGACAATCAGTCAGCGGGTTTGACAATAATCATCTGTTAATGGACATGTAACAATGTACTGATTTGACAATTATATTAGAGAAAATATACGGGTCTAAATATATAACAGTTTAATAGATATTTATATATACTCATTTTAAGTGGGCATATATAAATATGGTAGCAGAATATATGATAAAGAGAAAATCATAAAGAGAATGCTGGCTTGAGTAACGAAAGATAGTAAAAGACTATCCTCCTATTCATAAGGTTTAACAATAAACGAACGGTCCCTAAGATATTTATAGAAATATAAAGTTAATGGGAGATAGAACAAGAAAAGAAAAGAACCGTACTGTAAACCGACACAGGTATGATAAAGGAGAATGAGATAACTACTATGAATGAACTCGGCAAAAAAGGTGTAAAGCCTAAGGTCGTGCGACTGTTTACCAAAAACATAGCTTACTGCATATTAGAAATAATAAGTATAGTAAGTGATATCTGCCCGGTGTATGCCTAATAAAATAATTATATATAAGTATAATATTGAAAAGGTGTGTTAACGGCGGTCTTATTGTGAGGATCCGAAGGTAGCGAAATTCATTGACGCATAATTGGTGTCCTGCATGAATGATTACACGATGCGACAACTGTATCCATAGTAGACTCAGTGAAATAGCAATTGCGGTGAAGATGCCGTATAGCCATAGATTGACAAAAAGACCCTATGCAGCTTTACTATATCTTTATTCTGATTCTAATATTATTTATTTCAGTATATTAGGTTATATTTATTAATAAATAAAATGAGATACCTATATAAATAATTATCGAATCTTATCATATTTTATAAATAATTTTTATTTATTTTAATGAGACAAAGTAAAGAGGTTAGTTTCGATGGGGCGTCGACATCAGCGAAAGCATCTGATGTGTCTAATTAATAATTATTATTTTTTTTATAATACCTTACTTATGTAAGGATACTTTTTAAGTATTTATTTATTTATTAGTAATTAACGTACAAAAGATCTATAAAGCAAATAGATATAAATATGCAAGGATAACAACATAATTGTGCGATGATAATAACACTTACAAGTGAAATTAGTACTTACGTAGAGTGTAGTGAACAGGCATATTCAATTGATATGGATGTCGATAACGGATTAAAGTTACGCTAGGGATTAATTCTGTTAGTCCCTTAATTTGGTGACAAATTATTATAAAATTGGGTGAATTGCATGAAAGTCTCTCTTTTTGAGATGATATGCAGCGAAGCATTTTCTATACATTTATTTAAAGGAAAATGAACGTTCAACGACTAGTAGGTGAGTAGTATAACAATAATCCTCCCACGAGTGCCCAACATCTATTTATTTATATTCTTAAATTAACAATGAAAAACTTTAATAATAATATATTTATAACTATAAATCAAGTTATAAATATAGTATCTAATAGTAATTTATCCCCCCTTCGGGGATAAATCATAAAAAACAATTTCTTAAATTATCTAAATATCAAAAAGATATTTTAGTTAAAAAACTATTATAAAATATAAATAAATATGATGATGACATAGTCTGAACTATATAGCAATATATAGATATATCATTTAAATAATGATATGATAACAAATTTGAACAGGGTAATACCGCGTGAGAGTTGATATCGTCAGCGGTGTTTGCCACCTCGATTAAATAAACGATAGTTGAGGTTAAATAGGGTTAATTGCATAAATATCTAAAGAATATATACTAAGCAAAGCTTAGAAATATACCTATTTACACATTGTGTTAGGAAATATATATATTCTATGACAATATGCAGCGAAGTATTTTATATACACATGTATTAAAACATGAAATAAAATAAACGTTCAACGACTAGTAGGTGAGTAGTATAACAATAATCCTACCACGAAAGCCCTAAATATTAAAAAAATACCGCATTATGGGGTTATTATTAAATATTAAGACATAGTCTGAGCTATATAGAAATATATAGAAATATCATTTAAATAATGATATGATAACATAAATGGTCGTCTAGACTCGTCCTCCCGGTCGCAGCAACTGGGTAGGGTAGGACTGTTCGTCCTCTAAGGAGTTACTTGAGATGGGTTAATTACGACGTGAGTCAGTAATGATTTTATCATCTATGGTTATATTACTTAATCGTTGCCTCAAGTGTACGAAAGGATAATGAGGTGTTTTCCTATGGTTTTTTGTTAATTATATATTACCTTATAATAGGTATTTATATTAACATATTAGCTAAGAAAATTGAGGATACATATTGAATGCATCTCAAATATTAAACCCTTCGATTATGTAATTTACATATTATACTAATATGTTATAGTATTATAACTATATAGGTTATATAAACTAATTAATAATATCATATACCATACAATATATTTAAGGGATCATAGATTAATTGGTAAATCTTTCGCTTTGCATGCGAACAATATCGGTTCAATTCCGATTGATTCCATTATTTATTGTATTTTATAATATTATATTATTTATATATATATAAAAAAAATGATTAGATTAGATGTACCTACACCTTGAGGTTTTCGTTTTCAAGATTCAGCTACTCCTAACCAAGAAGGTATTCATGAATTATATGATCATATCATGTATTATTTAGCTGTTATTTTAGGTTTAGTTTCATATTTATTATTTGTTATTATTAAAGATTATAAAAATAATACTTTTTCTTACAAATATATTAGACATGGTCAAACTTTAGAAATTATATGAACTATTTTCCCAGCTGTTGTTTTATTATTAATAGCTTTCCCTAGTTTCATATTATTATATTTATGTGATGAAGTTTTAACTCCTGCTATGACTATTAAAGTTATAGGTTTACAATGATATTGAAAATATGAATATTCTGATTTTGTATCAGAAACTGGTGATACTATTGAATTTGAATCTTATGTTGTTCCTGAAGATATGTTAGAAGAAGGTCAATTAAGATTATTAGATACTGATACTTCTATTGTTGTTCCTGTTGATACTCATATTAGATTTGTTGTTACTGCTAATGATGTTATTCATTGTTTTACTATCCCTTCTTTAGGTTTTAAAGTTGATGCTACTCCTGGACGTTTAAATCAAGTTAGTGCTTTAATTCAAAGAACTGGTGTTTTCTATGGTCAATGTAGTGAATTATGTGGTATTAATCATGCTTTAATGCCTATTAAATTAGAATGTGTTCCTATTAATGACTTTATAGAATGATTAGGTGAGCAAGATTTCGTTTATGTAGCTTAATGGTAAAGCAATGTACTGTTAATACATCTATTCTAGTTCAATTCTAGACTTAAACGTTGTATGTATACACCCTGTTATTTATATATATATTTATATTTATATTTATATTTATATTTATATTTATATTTATATTTATATATATTTTTATTTATTTTTATTTATTTATATTATGTTAAATTTTATTAGTGGTATAAGTAGTATATTAGCTATAGGTTTATTAACACCTGTACAAAGTATATTATTCTTAATCATTTTATTTGTTAGTACTGCTATTTCTTTATATAGTCAAGGTTTTGTTTTAATGGGTATTTTATATATTTTAATATATGTAGGAGCTATAGCTATATTATTTTTATTTATATTATCATTATTAAAAATAGATTATAGAGTTCAAGGAACTATTTCACCTTTAATAATAACTATTATTACTATATGTTTAATACCTTTAGATTTATCTTATAATACTTATGGTATAGTAACAGATATAGAGAATATATCAAATGAAAGTTTAACTTTAAGTTGAGGATCTATTCAAGGTTTAAATGAATTAGTTATAGTTGGTAATCAATTATATACAGAATATGCTATTTTATTAATTTTAACTGGTTTAATTTTAATATTATCTGTTATAGGGGCTATATCAATAACTAAATAATGAATTTTATAGAATTATTAATATTATTTTTATCTATATTATTAGCTGTTGCTTTTTTAACTGTTGCTGAACGTAAAACTTTAGGTTATATGCAACGTAGAGTTGGTCCTAATGCAGTTGGTTATTATGGAGTTTTAATGGCTATAGCTGATGCAGCTAAATTATTATTAAAAGAAATTATTATCCCTACTCATGCTGATAAATTAATATTATTATTAAGTCCTATGATTGCTTTAATATCAGCTTTATTATGTTGAGCTGTTATTCCTTTTGGTCCTGGTATCGCTATTACTGATAGTAATTATGGTTTTATATTAACTTTAGCTATTAGTAGTATAGGAGTATTTGGTACTTTATTAGCAGGATGATCAGCTAATAGTAAATATTCTTTATTAGGTTCTATTCGTTCTACAGCTCAATTAATTAGTTATGAATTAGTTTTAACTACTATTATTTTATTATGTATTTTATTCGCTGGTACTATGAACTTATCTAAATATGTTGAATTACAACAATCTATTTGATTAGGTATACCTTTATTTCCTTTATTTATAATTTGATTTATAGGTTGTGTAGCTGAATGTGCTAGACCTCCTTTTGATAATGTTGAAGCTGAATCTGAATTAGTTTCTGGTCATATGACTGAATATTCTTCTTCTATTTTTGTTTTATTCTTTTTATCTGAATATGCTTCTATTTTATTTTTATCAACTTTAACTTCTATCTTATTCTGAGGTGGTGGTACTGGTATTTTCTTATCTTTAAAAGCTAATTTCTTTGCTTTTACTTATATTTGAGTTAGAGCTACTCTTCCTAGAGTTAGATATGATAAATTAATTAATATGTGTTGAGTTATTTTCTTACCTCTTTTATTCGCTATTGCTTTATTCTTACCTGCTTTAATTTATATTATTGATGGTTATATATTCATAGTATTTACTTTATAAATAATCCTTTTTATTTTATTATTACTCCCTTGAGTAAAATGATATTTATTACTAATATAAGAATATTTTTTAATAAAATAAGAATATTATAATATTCATGATAAACATGAATATAAATAAATATTTAATTTAAAATTAAGTATTTACATAAAAACTTTGCATTATGGAATTTTTACTTTTAACTGATATAAATATATATATAATATTGTTAAACTAAACTTAACTTAAATTAAAGGTAAGTTAAAAAGATAAAAGGTATAGAAGATAAGTAAAATAAAATAAATTCTTTTAAAGAATGAAACAAATGAGTTATGTAACTCGTTGACTTTATAGTACATCTCATAAAGATATAGCTATATTATATTTAGGTTTTGGTATGTTAGCAGGTATGGTAGCAACAGCTATGTCAGTAATAATAAGATTAGAATTATCAAATGGTAATAGTCAATTCTTATTTAATAATAATCAAGCATTTAATGTTTTAATTACAGGTCATGCTATAGGTATGATATTCTTATTTGTAATGCCTGTATTAATAGGAGCTTTTGGTAAAATAAAATATTATGTTTCTTTAATGTGAAATTTATTAAATTATAAATTTAATTATTATATAATTAATACTAAAAAATTTTCTATAAAAGAAAATTTATATGATACAAAAATATCAGTTGAAAATGAAAATAAATATAAAAATTTAAATTCATATTTAGCAGGTTTAATTGAAGGGAATGGGAGTATAAGTACTCATAATTCTATATTTAAAAATAGATATAGTCCTATAATAATTATAGCTTTTAATAAAAAAGATTATCCATTAGCTTTATATTTAAAAAATAAATTACAAATAGGTAATATTTATATAAAATCTAAAACTAATGTATGTCTTTGACAAATAAATAAAATAGAAGAAGTTTATAAATTATTAAATATAACAAATGGTTATTTTAGAACACCTAAATATGAAGTAATAGTTAAGGCTATTAATTGAATTAATTCTTATATTTTAGAATATAAAAATAAAGATATAAAAAATATATCTATATCTAATATAAATATAAGGAATAAAATATTATCTAATATAAATATATTAGATATAAAACCTATAGATAAATCAGATTTATTAAGTAATTCTTGATTAGCTGGTTTTACTGATGCAAATGGTAATTTTTCTATATCTTTAAGTAAAAGAAAAAATAGAAAAAATAGTGTTAATTTAAGTTATAGATTAGAAATTAGACAAAATTATCATAAAGATAATGAATTTAATATTAATAATAATTATAATTTAATTATGCTAAAAATAGCATCTTTATTTAATACTTCTTTATATTCTAGAGAAAGAATTTTAAAATTAAAAAAACAAAATAATGAAAAAACTTATTATAGTTATATTATATCAGTAAATAGTATAAATAATTTAAAATTAGTTAATAATTATTTTAAAAAATATCCTTTATTATCTTCTAAATATTTAGATTTCAAAGATTGATCTGAATTATTAAATTTTATAATTAATAAAAATAAATCTCGTATAAATTCTGAATGTTATAATTTAGGTTTAAAAAAACGTTTAGATTTTAATAAAACTAGAACTACTTTTAATTGAAATCATTTAATTTAATTTAACTTCATTATTATAACATAATATAATTAAATTGCCGTGAATAATTGTAAAATTATTTATAATTATACTACTATATTCTGGAAAATCCTAAAGCTTTATATAATATATTATGATATTTATAATAATATATTTTATATATATTAGTTTATTATATATTAGATAATATTTTATTTATATTTTATAAATAATACCTTTTTTAAGGTTATTAAAAATTATAAAGATGTAACAATGGATAATCAGTAGGAAACCAAATTAAATTATTACTTAATTTTTATTAATTCTCTTACTAAACAAGAATATTCTTTCACTATGCAAGAGAATTATATAATATATATATATAAGTATTAAATTTTTTAGTAGGATCCTCAGAGACTACACGTAGTACTCCAAATATATAATCAATTATAAGATTGAAAAATAAACCGTCTAAAACTGGTTATATTACTTTTATTTTATAAGATAATACTTTTATAAAATAAGGGATTCTATCTATAAAAAGGTAGAATTATTTGGATGAAGATATAGTCCAAATTGTTTTGAAAAAGACAACCCTATTTTAGGGATATTCAAATATATATATATATTATTGAAATATATATATATAGAATATATATAATGAATTTTTTTTTACCTATTATGATAGGAGCTGTAGATATGGCATTTGCTAGATTAAATAATATAAGTTTTTGATGTTTACCACCAGCTTTAGTTTGTGTTATAGCTTCTGTTTTAATAGAAACAGGATCAGGTACAGGTTGAACATTATATGCACCTTTATCTGGAATAAATTCTCATTCAGGTCCTAGTGTAGATTTAGCTATATTTGCTATACATTTAACAAGTATATCTAGTTTATTAGGAGCTATAAACTTTATAGTTACAACTTTAAATATGCGTACTATAGGTTTACATATGATAAATGCACCTTTATATGTATGAGCTATTTTCTTTACAGCTATATTATTATTATTATCATTACCAGTTTTAACCGCTGGTGTAACATTATTATTAATGGATAGAAATTTTAATACAGGTTTCTATGAAGTAGGAGCAGGAGGAGATCCTATATTATATGAACATCTTTTCTGATTCTTTGGTCAAATATGGCCCTTTATATTTTATATAAAATATATGAATTGTGCTATATGCTGGAACTTTACTTTATTTATATTTTATTTATATAAGCCCTGCAAAACAGGGATACCCGCTGAAAGCGGGCATAAAGGTTTATTAATTACTATATATATAAGTCTATATATTTATATAGCCAATATAGTTAAAATATTAATAGATATATTTTATATATATTTGATAATAGTAAATATCTCCATTAAATGATATTTAATTTTATTATTTAATAAATGTATTTATTATTTAAAAATAATATATATAAAATATAAGTCTTGTAAAATAAGACTATCTACTTTTAGTAGTTATAAAAATAATCAGCAGATAACCAAAAATAGTATTTATAATTTACAGTCAAAGACTGGTAATCATTCTGTATTACAGAATAATTTACAATTATCTAACAAAGTGGTAGAATATCCTACCAAAAGTTTAGTATTTAAACGTTATAAATCTAATTTAGTAGGAATCTCAGAGACTACACGCACAAAATCTTTAAATATTTCATTTAATCAATGATTAGCAGGATTAATAGATGGAAATGGTTATTTAGGAGTTTCTAAAAAAGGTTATACAAGTTGTGAAATAACTATACCTTTAGAAGATGAAAAAGCTTTACAACAAATTAAACAAAAATATGGAGGATCTATTAAACTTAGATCAGGAGTTAAATCTGTTAGATATAGATTACATAATGAAAAAGGTATGATTAATTTAATTAATGCTATTAATGGGAATATACGTAATAGTAAAAGATTACCTCAATTACATCATGTTTGTTCTATTTTAAATTTACCTATTATTGAACCTATAGAATTAACAATTAATAATAGTTGATTTAGTGGGTTTTTTGATGCAAAAGGTTCTATAAATATTAATTTTAAAAATAAATATCCTCAATTAACTATTAGTATTACTAATAAATATTATAAAGAAATATATCCTTATATGACTATATTTGGAGGAAATATTTATTATGATAGAGCTCAAAATGGTTATTATAAATGAACAATACAAAATAAAGTTAATATATTTAATTTTATTAATTATATATCTAAAAATCCTTTAAAAACAATTAAATTTAATAAAATTTTATTATGTAAAAATTATTATTATTTAATAAATTTAAAAGCTTATAAAACTCCTGAAAATTCAAATTTATGCCACTCAGGGATAAATCATCCCGTATCACAGGATAATTTATTAAAATCTTGAAATAAATTTATAATAAAATGAAATAAACCCCGCTAAGCGGGGATCATTGCTTTTAGCGATAATAAAGATTAAGATATAGTCCATACCCGTATTTTAACGGGTAGCATCCAGAAGTTTATATATTAATTATTCCAGGATTTGGAATAATATCTCATATAGTATCAACATATAGTAAAAAACCAATATTTGGTGAAATAGGTATGTTATATGCTATGGGATCTATAGGATTATTAGGATTCTTAGTTTGAAGTCAATGGCTGGCTTTCCTTAAGCGTGAGTTTAAGGTAATAAATTTCACTATAGGCTGGAAAGGTTATCTTGATAACATACATCAAGAGAATTTAATATCTACTTTTTATAGTAAAAATGATATTCCCGTCATAGGCGGGGAATTTTGTAAAACAGAATTTAAAAATGCCCAATCAGCAGGAAACAAGATTAAAGGATCCTCAGAGACTATACGTGAAAATACTTATTCCTCATTTATTGATATGTATTATAAAATTTATAATTTTTCTTTTAAAGTAGAAGTTAATGATATTTATAAGTTATCTTCTTCTCATGATTGATTATCTTGATTTATAGGTTTTTCTGAAGGAGATGGAGCTATTCTTATTAATAAATCACAATCTATATTTGTTTTAACTCAAAAAGATTATAAAATTCTTGAACATATTAAAAATACATTTAAATTTGGTAGAATTAAATATATTTATGATAAAAATAATAAATATAAATATGCAAGATATTTTGTAGAAGATAATTGTAATATTTATTTATTATATTTATTATTTAATAATAATTTACATTCTTTAAATAGAATGAATCAATTATATAATTGATATAATAATTTATTTAATTGTTATTTTATAAATAAGCCTCGTATAACGTATATATCCGCCAACGATGAGCATAATAAAATTATTCTTGATAAACCTTCAAATATTTTAAAAAAAGTTAATTTAAATGATGCTTGATTATCAGGTTTTACTGATGCTGAAGGTTGTTTTTCTGTTAAAATTAATAAAAGATATCATAATTTAACTGGTCATATTATAAATAATATATTTATATTAGATCAAAAAGATAAAGATTTACTTAATCAAATTAGTAAATTATTTACTGATAAAAATTTAGTTAAACTTAGAATTTCTTCTATTTCTGTTTGTTATAGAATATCTATATCTTGTAATAATATTAATAGTAATATACATAAAGATATTATTAATTATTTTGATAAATATAAATTAAAAACAAATAAATATAAATCTTTTTTAATATGAAAAAATATTTTATATAAAATTTTAGGTAAACAACCTTTAGAAGAGAATATTATAAATAATATAAGAAATATGAGAAAACAAATGAATAAATATACTATAGAAAATAAAACTATAGGATATTCAGGAAATAAAAATAAGTATAAGAGATAGTCCATGGGTATAATCTACCCGCACCACATGTATGTAGTAGGTCTAGATATAGATTCTAGAGCTTACTTTACTTCTGCTACTATGGTTATAGCTGTTCCTACAGGTATTAAAATTTTCTCATGATTAGCTACTCTTTATGGAGGTGAATTAAGATTAGGAGTACCTATGTTATTTGCATTAGGTTTCTTATTCTTATTTACTATAGGAGGTTTAACAGGAGTTATGTTATCAAACGCATCTATAGATGTATCATTCCATGATAAACATTTATTTTTTAATAAATATTATAATCCCCACCTTATGGGTGGGGGTATTCTCCCTTCATGAGAAAATTATATTAAAAAATATTGAGTAGGTTTAATGGATGGAAATGGAAGTATTCAAGTTAATCATTGAAGATCTAAAAATCTTCAATTTAGATTAGTTATTAAATTAAAATATAATAAAAATAATTATAATATGTTATTATTAATTAAAAATGTAATAGGTGGAAATGTTAATATTATTTTTAATAAATATAATAATAGACCCGCCAATGGGGTAAATTCCCGCAACGCGGAAATTAAATATAAATCTTTTGTTATATGAGTAGTTAATAATAAAAAAGATATTATTAATATTATTAATATATTTAATGAATATCCTTTATTAACTTCTAATAAACAAGCTCAATTAAATTTTTTAAAAATAAATTTAGAAAAAAATGATATAAATTGATATTTAAATAATAGAAATAATAAATATAATAATATAGATTATTATCAAAATATTATAAAAAATATATTAAATAATTTCTCTGCCTTACAGAGAGATACTCAGCCTAAGGTAGGTAATTATAATAATTCCCAGTCTTCAGTAGGGGATCCTCCAATAAAATTGGAGAATTATTTTAATCCATGATTAAGTGGTTTTATAGAAGCTGAAGGTTGTTTTTCTTTAAAAAATAATAATAATCATTCTTTTTCTATAGGTCAAGATAATGATTTATTTTTATTAGAATTTATTAAAAATTATTTTAAAGCAACTAATAATATTAAGAAAATAAATAAATCATTTTATTTATTAAAAATATATAAAAAATCAGTTTTAATTAATATTATTAATCATTGTAATATTAATCCTTTATTAGGTTTTAAATATCAATCTTATTCTTCTTTTTCTAATGTTTTTATTAAAGAAAAAATATAAGTGTCATGTCGTCATATCACCATGATAAATATTTATTTATCGGTAATATTATTATCGTTTAATCTTTGATATAATATTGCTAACGGTAGAACCTTTTCTACTCTATAGATGTAAAAACTATAATAATAAATAAAGTTCTTATAAAAACTAGTTGTTACTAGTTATTTATTTATAATATATATATAAATATAAATATAAGTTTATTATTTATAAAAGGCAATACCGTGGAAACCTTATATATATATATGTATATAAGGACTCCGTAGAGACTAAACGTGATAATTAAGAATTTATTAAGTTAAATTAAGATAAGTTATAGTCCGATCCTCTAGGTGACTAGAGTTAAATTAAAGACTTATTATGTAGTCGGACATTTCCATTATGTCCTATCTATGGGAGCTCTATTTAGTTTAATAGGTGCTTATTATTATTGAGGTCCTGCTATGTTTGGATTAAATTATAATAAAGTTTGAGGAGAAATACATTTCTGATTATTATTCATTTCAGTAAATCTTATTTTCCTTCCTATGCATTTCTTAGGTATTTAATCAGGATATTTAATGCTTAAGTAAAACTTCACTATATGCTGGAAACTCTTAAAGCTATACTTACTCTTTTTATTTTATATATATATATATATAATTTATTTTTTGTGAAAATAGTATAGATAATACAATAGACAATCAGCAGGAAACCTTTATATAAGGGATCCTCAGAGACTACACGTGAAGAATTTTTTATATAAATATTTAGTTTTTACTAAATTTTACTACTTTATAAGTAGTCTTTTTATATATTTATATAAAGAATTAAGATATAGTCCAGATTATATAGAAATATATAATATATATATATTATATATATATACATATTTAAAGTTATATATAAAAATTAAATATTTAATTATAAACTTTTAAATATATAAACTGCTTAATGGTATGCCTCGTCGTATACCTCAATATCCTGATGCATTTATAGGATGAAATTATATAAGTAGTTTTGGATCTATATTATCATTAATATCAGTTTTAGCTGGTTTAAAAAGTGTATTAATTCAATTAGAAAATGGTACAGAACTAGAAAAAGAAGTTCAAGTTACACCTGATTTTACAGAATCTAATTTATGTAGAAATACAAGAGATTCAGATCTAGAATTAATATTAACTAGACCTGCTGAATATCATACTTTCTCTGAATTACCTATTTTAATATCTCCTAATAAAGATTAAATATATATTCATATACTTATATTAGACTTATACTTATATTAATCTTAAATAATATATATCTTATTGTTTTGCTATTAAATATCAATATAATTAAATATATATAATATATATATCATAAATTATAAATATAAACTATAGTATAATTAAGAAAATATTAAAAAGATTATATATGATAAATATAATAATAATAAAAAGTAAATATAAAGGAAAGGATGTATGGCTGAGAGGTTTAAAGCATAATATTTGAGATATTAAGACTTAAAAGTCCACGTGTTCGAATCACGTTGCATCCGAATATGACTATGGCGAAATTGGTAAACGCGATTAGTTTAGGTCTAATTATATTATATTTAAGGGTTCAAATCCCTTTAGTCATAGTAATAATAATAATTATAATAAAAAATATTTAAATAAAATGACATTATTATTTATAAGTTATTCAACTTTAACATCTATATTAGCTAGATTAGTTAATAATATATCTAAACATATATTTTTAGTATCTAGTATATTAATAGCGATACCTACATTATATGATTGACAAGAAATTAATGTTTATTATACTTCTGATGGATTAGCTGATATTTTAATTTTATTAACAGCTTATTTATTACCTTTATCTATTATATCAAATTGAAATAATATGAAAAATATATTATATTTTGAATTAGTTTTTAATTTAGGTATAATATTATTAATAAACTTTATGTGTCAAGATATGACTTCTTTCTATATTTATTTTGAAGCTTCTTTAGCTCCTTTATTTGTTTTAATAAGTCTTTATGGTGCTGGTAATAGAGATAAAGCTTCTGATTATATTTTAATATATACTTTATTTTCTTCATTATTTATGCTATTAGGTATAGCATTATATGAAGTTATATTAGATAATACTGATTATCAAGCTACTAGTTTATTAGTTTTATCTTTAGATTTACAATGTATTTTATTTCTTGCTATTTCTATAGGTATAGCTGTTAAAACACCTTTAGCTCCTGTTCATACTTGATTACCTGTTGTTCATTCTGAATCACCTCTTGCTGGTTCTATTTTATTAGCTGGTATAATATTAAAATTAGCTATATATGCAATAATAAGATTATTATTACCTACTTTATCAGATGCTTCTATATTATATACTCCTTTTATATATATTATATGTATAATTACTATAATATATACATCAATTATAACTTTAAGACAAACTGATTTAAAAGTTATTATAGCTTATAGTTCTATAGGACATATGGCTATATGTATTTTAGGTATGTTTTCTAATAGTATAACTGGTATAACAGGTAGTTTTATATTATCTGTTGCTCATGGTTTAGTTTCCCCTGGTTTATTTATTATAATGGGTGGTATATTATATGATAGATATCATAATAGATTAGTTCAATATTTCCAAGGTTTAATTACTTATATGCCTATTTTATCTATATATTTAATAACTTTAAGTTTCTGTAATATAGGTACTCCTTTATCTATTAACTTTATAGGTGAATTATTATCTATAACTGGAGCTATAAGTAAAGCACCTATATTAGGTGCTATAGCTGCTATATCTGTTTTATTATCAGCTTGTTATCAAATGAAATTAACAAATAGATTAACAGGTGGTGTTAAAACACCTTATGTTTATTTAACTAAAGATTGTACATATAGAGAAACTGTTTTAATGTTATCTATTATAATACCTACTATATTTTTAGGTATATTCCCTATGTGATCAATAGATTTCTTATGAGAAGCACCTTCATTATTATATATATTCATATTAAGGTAAGCAGTATAATGTAATGGTAACATGCAATGCTCATAACTTTGTAATTGGTAGTTCGAATCTATCTACTGCACTTAAATATAAACCCACTATTAATAGGTTTATATATTTATAATACATTTATATCATTATAAATTCTTTATATATATAATATTATTATAATAAATATATAAGAAATATATATAAATATGAATTATAGCTCAATGGTAGAGCAGTCCACTCATAATGGATGTATCTCAGTTCAATTCTGAGTAATTCAATAAGAAAATAAAATAAAATTTTCTTAAAAAAGAACTTAACTTCTAAGTAAAGTAAAGAAGATTTAAAATAATTAAATAAAAAGAAAGAGAACATGATGTTGGTTCAGATCAAATGCTATGTAGAGGCATTACACATGCAAGTTATATATATTAAGGTATATATAGCGATAAGGTGAGTGAAAATGTATAAAAAAAATATACAATCAGATGTAGGTAATAGAGAGAAATCTAGCCATCGAACTGGAGCCGACGATTTTCGTCACAACGGTCACATTGACAGAAGTCAACTCTTATTAAGAGCAGCAGTGGGGAATCTTTGACAATGGTCTAACGACTGATCAAGCTATCTACGAGAAGGATATTATATAAAAATATAAATAAATCAATTGCTTTTAGCAAAAGAAATATTTATAAAAATAAATAATAAAAGGAAAACTATAAACTTCTAAATATATATAATAATGATATATATATGAAAGAGTCCTAACTAAAACATGTGCCAGCAGCTGCGGTTAGACATGGAGGGCTAGCATTGTTCGAAATGGCTTAAAGTACCTGTAGAACGTTTTATAAAAATCTTAATTTTAAAGATTATTCGCTAATGGCGGATATATATATATAAAATAGAATATATAAAAAAGTGATATGAAATAAAGTAAGAGAGATGAAATACAACGAAAACATTATGACAGCAAAGAGATCACTTAAATATATTGACGTTGTGAGGTGAAGGCTACGGGCGCAACATGGATTCGATACCCATTTAGTCGTAGCAGTGAACTATGAATACAATAAAAGAAAAGTTAAAATGAATAGTATTCCGCCTGACTAGTACGCTCGCAAGGGTGAAATACAAGACATTAGACGGTTGTAGTCATGAGCAGTGGAACATGTCGTTTAATTGGATGATCCTCCTAAAATCTTACCATTTTTTGAATTTTTAACAGGCGTTACATCGTTGTCGTCAGTTCATGCCGTGAGGTTTAATATTAAGTTATTTAATGAACGTAATCCTTATTAAATATATATCTTATTAACTAATAATATATATTTATAAAAGTATAGTTGAGAAACTATAGGAAGTAAAGGCCGAAGACTAATCATGATGACCCTTATAAAATGGGCTATAGACGTGTTACGACGTTATTGACAATATATTTATATTTAATTATAATTTAATTAAACAATAAGACTTTGATATTATTTCTTTCATGAATTATAATCTGAAATTCGATTATATGAAGGAGGAATTGCTAGTAATCGTAAACTAGAGAGTTACGGTGAAATTTTTAACTACTTCGTACTAACCACTCATCAACAGCAAGAAACTGTTTACTTTCCTTACAAAAGGTTTGTTTATCAGTGACCTGCTGTAAGTTGAAATACGGTTCGGTTAGGGGAACCTGACCGGGTTTTATTATTTTTAATATTTATTCACACATATTTTTATTCCATTATTTATACTCAATTTAACTGAATATAATGCAGATATATTTATATCTTATAAATTTATATCCCACTACTTCGTAAGGTTAATTTATCCCCTTCGGGCATAAATCATTACAAGATAATTTATTTCCAGCTTTGCTGGAGATAAATCATCTTTAGGATAATTTATTAATTCCTTCACGTCGAAAGAGTATTCTCCTGTTTCACAGATGTATTCTTACCTTTAGTTAAAGTAGTTTATATATCTACTTATAATTAATATTTTATAATTAATTATATATAAAAATAGTCTATATCTCAATGGTAGAGAGATCGATTGATAATCGATAGATGTAAGTTCAATTCTTACTAGACTAAGAATGCCCAATCAATGATTGGGGATATTCCTATTCCTATTCCTAGTAATACTGGAATATTATGAGTCGTTGACTAATCGGCAAGTCCCCTAGATTTGAGTTAGGTATATGTACGTTCGAATCGTGCCGACTCAGATTATTTATATTGCTCTAGTAGCTTAATGGTAAAGCCTTATAATGTCACTATAAGAGTTGACAGTTCGAATCTGTTGTAGAGCGAGGATAGTTCGGCATTGGTAAGCCACCCTACTTGCTATGTAGTAGCTTTTTAGCTCTCAGCGTTCGATTCGCTGACTATCCGTTATTATTATTCCCCTTATTATTACATTATAGATAATAAATATCTACTTATGATTGATTTATATATATATAATATTAAAATATAATGACATATAGCACAATGGTTAGTGTATATTATTACGGATAATATTATGTAAGTTCAATTCTTACTATGTCATTTTTTATAAAAAGTATAATATTTTATATAAGATAAATTATAATATTATTAAATATAAGATAAATTATAATATTATTAAATATAATATTATTAAATATAATATGAAAAATAGTTATAGGTGGTTATATAACAATATGAAAATTATATAAAGGTAATGCTTATATCTGCATTTTTAATATTTTTAGTTTTCTCAACTTATTCAAATCCTATAATTATTAATAGATTAGGTTCTATTACTATTATATTCTCATTTATTTTATATATATCATCATTAGATATTATAAGTATGTCACCTAATTTATCATTATTTAATAATTGATTTATTATTACTCCTTATAATTTTCCTTTATCTATATTAATATTATTATTATCAATAATTTTATTAATTTATAGTACATCTAATCATAGATATGATTTAAAATCACCTTATTATTTTTTATTATTAATAATAAATATTATAGGTTTATTATTATTCCCTTTAGTTAATGATTTATTATCTTTATATATTTTAATAGAATTACAAAGTTATTCATTATATTTATTAACTGGTTTACATAATAGATCTTATAATGCTTCTAGAGCTTCTTTATTATATTTCTTAATGGGTGGTATCGCTTCTACAATTATATTATTATCTTCTTATTTTGTTTATTCTTATACTGGTTCTACTAATATATCAGATATTAATATATTTATGAATTTTGATAATACTATACATAATTATTTTAATATATTATTAATAGCTTTATTTTTTAAAATGGGTATGGCGCCATTACATCGTTGAAGTATTTCAACTTATAATTATGCACCAACTTATATAACAGCTTATATAAGTGTAGTAGCTAAATTATCTATAATATCATGAATATTTGCTAATGCTTCTTTATTTGATCATTATATTTTTATAATATTCTTTTATATTTCTTTATTTATAGGGGCTTATAAACCTTTATATCAAATAAATATAAAAACTATATTAGCATATAGTGGGATATTAAATTTTGGATATATTTTATTATCTATTATAACATTTGATACATCTTTTTATATATATATAATACAATATATATTAACACATATAATATTATTTTTAAGTATATTAGGAGCGAGTCAATATATAGATACACCAATATCAAAATGATCACCATTAATATATATACATCAATTAAAATTACCTAATTTAACATTAGCTTTATGTTTTGTTTTAGCTTTATTTTCTTTAATAGGAATACCTCCTTTACCAGGATTTTTTGCTAAATTTTATGTATTAATAAGTGCTATTCAAGATAATTATATATTAGAATCATGTGTTATTATAGTTTGTAGTGTTGTTGCAACTTATTATTATGCTAATATAATTAAAACTTTAATAACTAGTTATAATAGTAATAATAATGTTAATTATGTTAATCCATCTTTAGCTTATTCTATTGCTACTTCTACAGTTTTATTAATTAGTTTCTTTATATATTTACCAGCTATATCAGAAGGGTTATATTTAATAATATTATAAAATGTTTACTATTTATCTTTATTTAGCTCCTATAGTAGCTATGGCATTAGTAGGTTTAAATTATTTAATATCAAATTCTAATTCATATGTAGAAAAAGATGGTCCTTTCGAATGTGGTTTTACTTCTTATCAACAATCTAGATCTGCCTTTAGTGTTGCTTTCATCTTAGTTGCTATTTTATTCTTACCTTTTGATTTAGAAATTTCTTCTATTTTACCTTATGTTGTTAGTGCTTATAATAATAGTATTTATGGTTTATCTATTTTAATATTATTCTTATTATCTTTAGTTATTGCTTTTGTTTATGAAATAAATTTAGGTGCTTTAAACTTAGAAAGACGTTTTATCCCTATCGTTAAACCTTTAATGCATACTCTTTATAAATAATATCTATATTATTTATTATATTCTTAACTTTTGAATAAATATTATTAACTTTAAACTAAGTTAACATACTATTTTATTTAAAAATACATATTTATCTATTCTTAGTATTTACTTTTATATATATAAAATATAGAGGAGAAGAAAAGTATAAATAGATATAAAAATAAAAAATAAAGATGCAATTAGCATTAGCAGCAAAATACATTGGAGCAGCAATAGCTACTTTAGGATTAGGAGGAGCAGCTATAGGAATAGCTTTAGTTTTCGTAGCTTTAATTAACGGTACTTCACGTAACCCTTCATTACGTGCTACATTATTCCCTCAAGCTATATTAGGGTTTGCCTTGAGCGAAGCCTGTGGATTATTCTGTCTTATGATATCATTCTTATTATTATATGCAGTTTAATTCACTTTAATTATTTAAAACACTATATAATGGAATTTAAATATATATTTATTCATATAATGACTAACCGAAAGCTGAATATAATTTCACAATAAAAGGTTATTATTTATACATTAAAGATATAAAGGAAATATTTTATTTTATAAAATATAATATATGTTCGATTCATATAATATCTATAGAAATCTATTTATTAATAAATGAATATTAAAAATAATATAAAAATAAATGAATAATAATAAAATATTATTAAAATATCTAAAACAAAATAAAGATATTTCTAAATTAATAGTAAATAAAATATTAAATTTAAAACCTATAAATATATCTTCAATAAATCAGGAAATATATTCTTATGTAAAATGAAAGGAAATATTAAATATGCCTATTAAAAAGGAATACTATAATTATATAAAACTTAATAATAATTTTATAAATTGACTAATAGGGTTTTCAGATGGAGAAGGTTCTTTTATAATTACATTTAGAAAAAATGAAAAAGATAAAATAAATAGAATAATATTTTCATTTAAAATAAATTTACATATAGATGATAAAAATATATTAGAAATAATATTAAAATATTTTAATTTTAATAACATAAAAATATATCATTCAAAATATAAAAATGAAACTGAAAGTGTAGAAATAAGAATATCTAAAACAGAAGATATTAAAAATATAATAATACCATTATTTAAAGATAAATTAAATACTAAAAAAGCTCATGATTTTAATATTTGAATGAATATGTTTGAAATAAATAATAATAATAAATTATCATGAGATGAAAAATATCCTTTATTATTAAATTTAAGTAAAACATTAAATAATTATAATTATAAACATAATGATGATGAATTAAATATAAAAATAAATATAAATTGATATATAGGTTTTATGGAAGGAGAGGGATCATACAGTGTAAAATATGATAAAAATAAAAAATATACATTAATATCAGAAGTATCACAAAGAGAAGAATCTATAAAATTATTTAAAGAAATGAAAATTTATTTAAAAAACTTACCTGTTGATGAAAATTGTCCTGATATAATAAGAGAATATATAAAAAATATAAAAATAAATATAGTAGAATATAAAAAAACAAATAAAATAAAATTAACAATATCATCAATAGATTATTTTTATTGAGTATATTTTCCTAATATCTTAAAACATGAATGAAATACAAGAAAAAGTATAGATATGACATATTTTATGATAGCTACTATTATATTAAAACATGGTTTACATTATACAAAAGAAGGAGCTAAATTATATGAATATATAAGGAATAATAATAATACAAAACGTTATAATATAAATAAAGAAATAGATATAAAATGAATAATAAAAGTATTATCTCAAAAACCTATATATGATCCAAATATACCTCAATATATAAATGCTCATAAAAGAAGTAGAGAAACTATAAAAAAAAATATATATTCATATATAAAGATATATATGAATATAGAAATATAAAGGTAAGCGGTTATGATGAAATGGTAGACATAGGACACTTAAGATGTCCGGGCTTAGACCGTATAGGTTCGACTCCTATTAACCGTAAGAAATAAATAAAAATATAAAAGTATATTTATATAGAATATAAGGGGGAGGTTCTAATGTTGGTAATTAGACCTAAATTGTAACTTTAGTGCCGTAGTGCTTCGACTGTTCGATTCAGTCCCTCCTCATTATTATTAATAAATAAATAAAAACTCAACAAAGCTAAGAATATATCTTTACATGATATGAGTAAATATATACTTTACATGATATGAGTAAATATATCTTTACATGAAGTGAGTAAATATATACTTTATTTAACTAAGGAAATATATAAAAGGTAGCTATAGTTCAAAGGTAGAACATTCGTATGTGGAACGATATATCTGAGTTCAATTCTCAGTAGTTATCCTTTTTAAACTTAGGTAGTTCAATGGTTAGAACAGTTGCCTCATATGCAACTAATATAGGTTCAATTCCTATCTTAAGTAATATAAAACTATATAACATATATATGTTATTAAAAATAAATTTAATAAAAATAAAGGTAAATATATATATATATAAATAAAGTCGTATAAGCTAACCAGGCATAGCGTCCGTTTTGTAATCGGAAGGTGTGGGGTTCGATTCCTCAATACGACAATGTTAGACCACATGATCTAATGGTATGATACTACTACTTCACAGTATATATATGGGTTCAATTCCCATTGTGGTTACATAAGTGACAATAGGTTAACTGGTAAACCCTGGCACTTCCAATGCTACTTTGCGTGTTCGATCCACGCTTGTCATATTTATAATTTATAGTCAAAAGCTGAAGATTATTCCATTTAAGAGAATAATTTATGCCTCCTGCAAAGCAGGAACATATATCATCTTATAGATAATTTATAGTCAAAAGCTGGTGATCATTCCATTTCATAGAATAATTTATTTATATATGTATATATAAAATATATAAGATTATAAATATTGAACGTTGTTATTCATGGTTGAATGAATTAATTGCAAATTAATCTCTTTAGGGTTCAATTCCCTCAACGTTCTATTACGATCTCGAGTTTTATCTATTTATATCTTGGATTTATATTTATAAAATATGATTCTAATATCACTATATCTCGGTCTACTATACAGATTGTTGCGTAATTGGTAACGTATCTACATTGGGTGTAGGGCTATGGGGGTTCAAGTCCCTCCAATCTGATAGATTATTTATATATTTTTATAGAGTATATATATATAACTAATTAAAAGTTAGTATATCTGTTTATTATAGATATTCCCACTATGTGGGGTTATATAATCTCTTATATAATCTTATTTATAGATTATATATCTCCAGTTATATACTGGTTATTTATCATTTATTATTTAAATTTAAATATGCCACAACTTGTACCTTTTTATTTTCTTAATTTATTAACTTTTGGTATTTTAACTATTTCTATATTAGTATACTTTATATCAGTATATTTATTACCTAATATATTAAGATTATTAATTGCTAGAATTTTAATAATTAAATTATAAATGAACATCTACTTATATTATAAGTAGATAATAAATATTATACCATTTTTGTAATATATTTTAAATAGAATAATTTATTTATAAATTCCTTAATGTAAAAGATATCTACTATTAGTTGGTATATAAATAGTTCATTTAAATTCGTATTACAATTTCTTTTACCTACCTTAAAAGGCAAGGGAAGGATTATATATAAATATAAAATCCTTATAAATTCTGATAATCAGGATTTCTTTCTTTAACAAGTAAATAAATAAATTTATATTCAGCTTAGCTGGAGATAAATCATCTTTAGGATAATTTATGCCCTTCGGGGATAAATCATCACAAGATAATTTATTTATTTTAAAAAGAAGAATAATAAGGTATTATTAAATCAGTTATATCAATGATATAAGAAGATAATAAAAATTATTATAAAATGATATTTTCACCATTAGATCAATTTGAAATTAAACCATTAATAACAATAAATAATATAATAACATTAAGTTTAACAAATTATGTAATATATTTAATATTAGTTGCAACAATAATATTAAGTGTATTAAGATTATTAAATAATACTAAATTAGGATGAAATAGATGAGGAGTTGCCGTATTATCAATATATGATACTATATTAAATATGGTAAAAAGTCAAATAGGAGTACGTGGAGGTTATTATTTTCCTTTAATATTTACTATATTTAACTTTATATTAATAGCTAATTTAATAAGTATGATACCTTATTCATTTGCTATATCAGCTCAATTAGTTGCTATTTTATCATTTAGTTTAACTTTATGATTTAGTGTTACTTTAATAGGTTTAGTTAAACATGGTTGAGAATTCTTCTCTTTATTCGTTCCTAGTGGTACTCCTTTACCTTTAGTACCAGTTTTAGTTTTAATAGAAACTTTATCTTATAGTTCTAGAGCTATCTCTTTAGGTTTACGTTTATCTGCTAATATTTTATCAGGTCACTTATTAATGTTAATATTAGGTTCATTAATTTTTAACTTAATGAGCTCTTCTATTATTGGTTTTGTTTTAGGTTTTATCCCTATAGCAGGTGTTATTGCTATTGTTACTCTTGAATTCGCTATTTCTATGATTCAAAGTTATGTATTTAGTATTTTATTTAGCTCTTATTTAAAAGATGCTATTGATTTACATTAAATTTTATATATTATTATATAATATATTAATTTCTATTATTTATAGATATTTTATTTATTCTTATTTTAATTTATCCTTATATAATAGTTGATATATCTATACCTTTCAATATAAAATATATATCTAATAAAAGATAACTCCAGCCAAAGGCTGATAATCATTCCCTTCACAAAATAATATATTTTATACAAAGTAGAGGATATCTCATCTAAAAGATAATATATTCTTTTATAAATATATCTTCTTATAAAAATATATTATGTCCGCTTTAAGCGGATATCCCCGATTCGCGGGGCTTATTATTTTAATTTTATCATATTTTAAGGATAATTTTATTAAATAAAAGTAGATATATAAATAATATTTATATATATTTATAATCTCATTATAAATATAATATTTATATATAATATATAAATATATAAGATATATATATATATAATAAAATAAAATGATAGCAATGTTAACAACATTATTAACATTTTATATTAGTCAAAATAATATAATAACATTGTTAATAGCAATAGAAATATTATTATTAACAGTAACAGTTAAATTAATATATATAGGAGGAGTATATAATGATGTAGAAGCAACAATATATGCTATATATATAATAATATTGGCAGGAGCTGAATCAGCTATAGGTTTAAGTTTATTAGTATCATATTATAGATTAAGAGGGAAAGTAACAAATATATTATAATATAATGTCTTGATTAATTTATAAATTTGAAGAACCTATATCAATAAATTTAGGAACATGATTTTCAGTAGGAGATATACATGTTAATTATGGATTATTATTAGATTCATTATCTTTAGTTGTTATGGTACCAGTAGGAATAGTAACATTATCAGTATTATTATATGCTATAGAATATATGAGACATGATCCTAATCGTAATCGTTTTTATATAATATTAAGTGTTTTTGCTATATTTATGACTATATTAGTTATAAGTGATAATTATATAATGATGTTTATAGGATGAGAATTTGTAGGAGTAATATCTTATTTATTAATATCTTTTTGAAATACACGTATTACAGCAATGAAAAGTGCTTTATCAGCTATATTATTAAATCGTATGGGTGATACTTTCTTTGTTATTTGTTTAGGATGTATGTTATCTTTATTTCATGCTGTTGATTTTGATACTATTGAATTGTTAACTCCTCATATTAATACTTCTATTTTAAATATTTTAGCATTATTATTATTATTAGCAGCTACAGCTAAAAGTGCACAATTAGGTTTACATGGTTGATTACTATCAGCTATGGAGGGTCCTACTCCTGTATCAGCTTTATTACATGCTGCTACAATGGTTTGTGCTGGAGTATTTGTATTAGTAAGATCTAATTTTATATTAGAATATACCCCATCTATATTATTAGGAATATTATGATTAGGAGGTATAACAACATTAGTAAGTGGATTAATAGCAATAGTATCTAATGATATAAAAAGAGTTATAGCATTATCTACGATGAGTCAATTGGCTCGAAAATATATGTTCAAAGATGAGCATATATTTTCCCGCGAAGCCGTAGCGGGAGGGTATATACCTTACATTTCAAGGTATATATTCAGGAATCAAACTATTTACGAGAAAATTCATTTTATATTCGCTAAAAGCGAATGTTTTCAAAATATGAAAATTAAATTTAATTCTTTATATTATTTATTTAAAAATAAATTATATCATGTATTAGAAGGATTTATATTCGAAAAGAATAAATCATTAAAAAAAGAAATATCTTTAATAAATAAACATATATATATAAAACCTATATATAAAGAAATATATACTTTTAAAAATATATTTAATATAAATAAAATTATAAAAAGAAATTATAGTACTTCAAATATAAATAAAACTATAATTAATAATAAATCTAAATTAGATATAAATAATTATATATCAGGATTTATAGATGGAGAAGGTTGTTTTTAAT